CGTTTTCCTTAAGATTCGTTATAGAGTGATTGTTTATGTCTTGGTGTTTTTGTTTGTTATTTTCATAAAAATTGGGATTGTTTAAGCGCAATAAACAACTCTTGATTTAATGAAAATATGTAATGTTTTTCTTATGTGAATAGATTACAATTCTTATGCTTGAGTAGTTCAAGGAGACCTGCAAAATATTTTCATCATTAGACGTTAAAGTTTATTAAAGTGTATCAAATGTTCTTCATGAATACTTTGTGCATGGGAGTTAGAATGAAAGAAAGATTCGCTCTTTTATAAACTTTTTCATCTTTTGGAATCATTATTTGAGCGCTTGAGGTGAGTGGGGGTTCAAAGTAACCAAAAGGCCTTTGAATCTTTGACTCCGGGCCTTATAGAGAGTTGACGATCCTCTATATGTGGTCAAGGATATGAATCAACTCGAGCCTTTGAATTATTTTCTATTCTTAAGTGCGTAAGTTACGTAATATATTGTCTAAGTGCCTATTATACGTGTAATGTTCATTTTGTGTTCGTTCTCTTTTTAATTTTGTTTCGGGTTTTGGCGGTGTGTCTTGGGTTACCTAAATTGGAGAAGGTGATTATCTTATGAGCTTGTTTTCCCCCATTCTATCAAAAAAAACCAAAAAATAAGAAAATATAAAAAACAAAAAAATATTTACTTTTTATCCAACAACCCCCCCCTCCCCTCTTTTGTGTTATATTAGCATAAGTTTATATTATAAGTTTTATAAGTGTTATCTTTTGTGTAGTATAGTTTTTTTTTATTTCGTGACAATGTGTGTGCATGCTTAAATGATTTCAAAAGTACAAATTTTCTCCGTGGGATCGACCCTTACTTGCCCTAGCTATAGTTTTTATTTGATTATATTGTGGGGGTTAGTTAAGGATATTATATAAATTTTTAATTTGTTTTGGACCACACGACAAGTCCCCAACAGGAGTCGCCGGAGCTGTCCTTAAGGTAGTAGTGCCCGCCTACCGTACCGAAAAACCGTGGGCACTCTCCTCTCAGGATAAAACCGCTATCGTGTGTGGTGATTGTACGGACCAACCACACACCAACGAACAAGAACAACGTAGGAACGTTGGCGACTGGAAAAAATGAAGGTAATCGCCGGAAAAATTGGCAAGAAAACCAAGAGCTCTCCTCAAAGTTAAACAAGGACAAAAGTGTTAACTTTTTCCTTCTCCTCTTTTATTTCCCACGTATGGATGCTCTTTTAAAAAAATGAGAAGAGTCCCTCCATTTAAATAGGCATTTTCATGGCTCTCCATTTTGTAACTTATATGCCATGAAGGCACATTCAATAGCCATGACTCACCATCATTAGTAATATTTTTAATGGTGTGTTAATACCACCATTAACATGGGGGTTACACCCATAATGTTTAAAATTGTTCCTATTTAATTTGGAGATTAATGGCCAGTTAACTCCGTAAAAGTGGAATAATTTTAAATATTACGTAACGGGTTAACTCTGAGAATCAATTTCTCATTCACCCTTCTACCATTTTTGGCGTATAATATATCAAAATATTTATCTCATTTAAGAGAATACACGTCCATTAATTAACGATTAAAACCGTTAGTGGACCTATTGATAATTATACCCAAGTTGGTCCATTTAATGCCTATTAAAATGCCAAAAATTCCAACAGATAATTTCTATCTCACTAAGGCTATGTTCCGTTCAACTTATTTTCAAGTCTGATCTAATTTTTGTAGTTCTAGTCTAATCTAATATGATCTGTTCTGATCTGATTAGATCTGATCTGATTGGATCTGGTTTGATCTAATCTGATTAATTATGATTGGATTTAAAATTCAAATCAATAACTTGATTTGACTTTATAATCACGTTTAAAAATTTTAATGATAAATCATATTATTATATAATCAATATTTTTTTATTTTATTATTATTTTTTAATAAAACAAAATTAGTTAATTCATATATTAGAATAATTGTTCATATTATAATGTAATAATATTTTCTATTTTATGATTATATTTTTGTGAAATAAAAATTTTGATATAGTATTTTAATAATTAGTTCATTTATACATTAAAATAAACATTAAATTTATATTTACATTAAAAAGTAATTAAATTTAGATAATCAATATATAGAAGAGATAGTATTTTTATTAAAATATATCATCCTTATAAAAGATCAAAAGTTTAGAAACTCAAATTACAAATTGCAATAAAAATGTGTTTTAAAAATAGAATTAGATGACATTGTCAATGTATTTAAAAATAATTTTTTAGACGTCTAATAATTAAGGATTACTTTATCAGTTTTCTATTTAACTTGTTTCTAAAATTTATTCTTTTTCATTTTAAGAATAATAATAATAATAATAATAATAATAATAATAATAATAATAATAATAGTAATAATAGTAATAATAATAATAATAATAATAATAATAATAGTAATAATAATAATAATAATAATAATTCTTGATGAGATCTGATCTGATCTAGTTTAATCTGATCTGATCTGATTTGATTGGATCTGATCTGATCTAATCTGATTGGATCTGATCTGATCTGATCTGATTCAATTTGATCTGATCTAATTTTAATAAGAATAAGAAAAAAAATAAGAAAAAATAAGTTGAACGGAACACGGACTAACTCATCGCATAAACCCCACACTCCAATTCCATCCATGCCCTACCCCCGCCCCCCTAAGCCCTTACAAGTTACAAGTGTGTGGCTATTATGCATTGCACTAGAGGAATCATCAGTTTAGTAGTGATACCATTCAACAAAACTCCATTCATGAAATATTGTGAGTTATTTTCTCCGTCACTAAAATATTGTCACTTTCCATGCACTATTCCAAAGTCAAAATAAAGTTTACTTATTTATTTATTTATTTTGATAGATTATTTGATAAAAATGATATATTTTTTTAGCCTTTTTTTAATTTCTATGCTATTCTTAAGTAAAACTAATTTTTACACACAATAAACAAATGGTTCAATATGGTGCACCTTAGATGTTTATCAATTTTATGAACCTTCTCATTATAAAATCTTTATTTTTTTCTTTAAAAATTAAATGCTTATCTAAGACCATGTTCTTCTCCACTTATTTTTTATATATTACTTACAATATATAGAATGAGATCAGATCGGACATATTAGATCAAAAATAGCTTTCAATATAACTACATTTAGATCAGATCATATTCGATTAGAACTTATTGCAATCAGATCAGATTTTTTCAGATCACTTAAATAGAACATGACTTAAGTAGTAAAGAAAGGGAATTGATATCCTCGCTCCAAGGCTTTATAATGGCGCTCTACTTTTCTAATCCTCTTAAGGAAATGACAAGATTAGCCTTACACCTTGAGACACTATGGTTCTACAATTCTACTTCTATACCTCTGTGCCAATCTCTCCAACTCTCTTTTTTATTTTTTAATGACAAATTTTTTTCGAAATAAAAATTGTTTAAGAACATAATACTCCCCCGTCCCTATTTGGTGATCTTAGTTTGACTTTACACGAAAACTAAGGAAAATGAAATTGTATGATTAAAGTGATGTAGAGTAAAGAAAAAACAATTTTCAAAAAAAAAGAGAAAGATTAATTTGGGATAAACAAAAAAAATAAAATAAGAAATATTTTTTAGTTTTTTACTTTTCAACTCTATTAATGCAACAAATTATTCAATTTTAATTGTATTTAAATTAGTAATTTTAATTTAGTATTTGTAATTATATCTTAAATTTTAAGCATGTTAAATTTCATCTTTTATTAATGTAGTATATTATAATTTTAATGTTGTATTTGCTTATTTTTAATTTTTTAAAATCCATTTTTATTTTTTTGAATTATTCATCAATTTTTATTAATAAATAAATATTTGTGTTAAATTTATATCATTTTGAATTAAAAATGATGAATAATGTAAAAAAGGAAGAGAAGGTGCGAGAAGGCAATAAAATTGTAGGTTTTTTGGGGCGAAACTGAAAATTAGTGGAATAATGATGTGTTAGGCAATGGAGTGTGGCGAGATTCCGCCGGATAAATGTTTTTAGAATCACCAAAGCACAACTCTTAAAGGAATGGAAGAGATGTACAATAGTGAGATAACAATAAATTAATTAATAAATATATACACAAGTACGGAGTACATAAAATTGAGCCTTTCTCTAACTAATCTCAAACAAAAAAATTAAAGTACAGTAGTAATTAAAAAAAAGAAATACTAATAGATCTGATAAATGTCGTTGACTCTTGACTTCAAAGAACAACAATCGAACTTCAAACTCCTCATCTCTTATAGTCTTATGAGGATTGATAGATGAATTTTCTTGCATCATTATTGAATTGGGATGATTTTACATCACTGTGCATCCAGCATCTTCATTATAATAATGGGGAACTGGGTATGGAGCGTAGAGTGTGCTGTTCGAAGGCGGTGGGTAATAGGTGAGAGGGTTACTGATTGTCATGGTTTGGGTCTTTGGTGGCTCTTCCTTTGTGGCGGCGGCGGGTTTATTGGCCTTTGGGGCCTCATCCTTTTTCTCGACCACGGCCGCCACCGTGAGAAGATCGGCGTAGCCCAATTTCTTACGCAGCGTGGTGGCCAGCACCACCGTGTCGAACTCCCCCACCACCTCTATCTGCCCCTTCTCTACCTGTATTGACGCCGCAACAACTCCTACAGGGAACAAATAAATCGATTGGTTCCAATCAATTATCTAATTGGATTTCAACTCTGCTATTGGGATGTGATTAAAAAAAATTGTTTCTAGCTAGCTACGTACGTACCTGGCTGGCAAGCAGCAATCTTAAAAGCCTTGGTGCGAGCCTTCTCATCCTTCAATATCACGCTAATCACTGCCTTTTGCTGCAAAGAATAACCAAAAGAATGGGCGAGTTATTAAAGTTCATGTAAATTACTACAAGTACGTGCCTTAGTAAGCTAAGCGTGAAAGTATAGAATTTAAAAAACAGAACATATCAAGATGATGGAGATCACATCATACCTTGCCCATTTTATGGTTTTCTATTCTCTTTGGACAGAGTTGGAGATGGAGATGGAACCAAGATGTACAAAGTATATAGTTAATATACTCTGGTCAGTAGTGTTTGGGACTTTGAAATTGTAAATATTGATGTTTGTGAGCCATTACACTAAACTGGTTGAGGTATATATATATACAATCCATATGTGGGGGGAGGTTGCTAGGCAAGTACTCAGGAGGGACATGACTACTGTATATGAGTAGTCTTGCGGCCGCCGGTTGATCCAAATGTGGTACTAGCACTGTGCCACTATGGCACCGACCCACCGTAGTTTGATTTAGTCTCAAAAAAATCCCCTTGTTTTTTAAAGTTTGATTTAGTCTCCCGCGGGTCCAGTGCTAGTATAGACTTTTCTTTCTCGTGTGCTAATTACGGACTGCGGTCTTCGGGACTAATGATTTTTGGTTCCAACTTTTAATCATGCATC